GGGGATTAAAACATGGAAGCCGTCCGTGGTTGGGTATGGATATTTTCTGGAATTGCCTATTTGCCATTATGAGGAAGCTTCATAATACTGCCTCTGTGCTTCACATTCTTGTGTCCTTGCTTGTGTCTTGCGTTTCTTGTTCCCAAGAAAATGAAACATCTTTTTATACTGCTTGATAATGGGAAATGATGGACTTATTTCCAAAAGGTTTTCCTATACAGCTTATAAGACCCCCTTCCCCACTGGATATAAGCCCCCCGCCCTCCCTCATTTAGCCCAAGCCCAAAACCCCAGTCTAAGCCCAGAGCTTATAATCAGAATTTTACTGTATTTGTATGTAGATATTTCAATCCAGACCTTCTTTTTGGTAGCTTTTTTGTAACAGTTAACATCTGTTAAACATTCTGACATTTCACTTTTAAGCCTGAGAGACTTCAAGGTGCCAATTACTCAGTTTTGTCAGATATCTGGAGTTTTGGGTTATCACTGGTTGAAATGGCAATTGGTAGATATCCAATACCACCGCCAGAGGAAAATTCCAAGAGTACCAGCCCATCTCACCTGATGCGCCTGCCTCCTGGAGCAAGACCTCCAGGTGGAGTGAATAATGATGCCAGGCCAATGGCAATATTTGAACTGCTGGACTACATTGTTAATGAGGTACGGTGCATGTTTTGACGGAAAAAGTCCTGATGCTGTCTGTGGTAGAAGATAGGCTGACGAGATAAACGAGGCTAAGGTTCTCTAATGTGATTTGAAATGTTTTAACACAAGAGTTAAGAGTTACACAAGACAACCTAATCCAGTCGTTTATGCAGGCAATTTTTGGTGCAATTTTTATTGTGATTTCCATTGGGACTTTTGGCATGCTTGTGCTGCAACCAGCTGCAATTTGAATTTGTCTTGAGTACAACATTGTGTGGTTGCAGAAAACATCAACACCCACCCCAAGAAGGACTACTGGAAATTGCAAGGGGCAGGGGTATCAAAAAACAAAATGTTTAAAGAAAAGCCTTGGTATTGGGAGGTGGGTGGGGGTTCAACGCGAAAAAACCCTCCATGGGAACGTAGAATGTCTATGGAGCATGATCAAATGACATGAGGCTTTGTATCAGAGATGCAGGCATATCTTATAAACCAGATTGGTGGCTTTATGTCAAGCTCAAAAGTTCAGGTGATAATTTTCTTGCTGAAATTTTGATGGTATCACATTGAAATTGCCGCTGGTTTACATGCATGATTTTTGCATTTTAACCCTTGCTAGGTGCACCAAAATTCACAGTAGAAATTGTGATAAAAGTGCATCAAAAATANTGGAAATTGCAAGGGGCAGGGGTATCAAAAAACAAAATGTTTAAAGAAAAGCCTGGGGATTGGGAGGTGGGTGGGGGTTCAACGCGAAAAAACCCTCCATGGGAACGTAGAATGTCTATGAAGCATGATCAAATGACATGAGGCTTTGTATCAGAGATGCACGCATATCTTATAAACCAGATTGGTGGTTTTATGTCAAGCTCAAAAGCTCAGGTGATAATTTTCTTGCTGAAATTTTGATGGTATCACATTGAAATTGCCGCTGGTTTACATGTGTGATTTTTGCATTTTAACCCTTGTTAGGTGCACCAAAATTCACGGTAGAAATTGTGATAAAAGTGCATCAAAAATAGCCTGTGTTTATAATAGGGCCACTATAAAACTAGCATAATTGGTTAAGTTTAAAGTGCATTGACATTATCATTAAATTCTCCCAGCTAACATTGTGAGAAGAGTATGGAGAGCAGTAATGAGATTTTGAATGTTGTTATATGAAAAGAAGGCTAAACTTCTCAATTAAAGAATTTCATTTTGTTCTTTTCTTAAAATCTAGCCACCTCCCAAACTACCATCAGGTCACTTTTCAGATGAGTTTTGTGAGTTTGTGAACAAATGGTAGGTTTTACCTTCTAGTGCTTTCTACAACAATGTCATATCTAAATTATAGCATGTTGTTTGGGGAAGGATTCATTAAGTGTAGTTGGTAAAAGCTTGGGTCATAGGAGAGGTCTGAGCAGCCAGAAAAAAATATGTAGATGTGGTGTCAAGTCTTGGTTTGCCTGATTGTGAGTTGCCACTATTCAAGGCAATCATAGGCATCGGCAATTGATTTGAACGAGCTCTGTATTCATTTTTTCTTGTTAACCTGCTCCTCTTTGGTTTTTAGGGCCAGGGGCACGGTTTGTGTTCATTATCTATTGTTTGGTTGAGCCACCGCACAAGGTTGCCCAAGGTTGAACCTTGTGCAGGTCATCCTGCATTTGGTGATGTGTTTTGCTGCAATACATTACATCCATTGTGCTTTATTTGTTAGTGTAATGACCCCATTCCCTGCCATTGTTTAAAGGGTGGAAATAATGTTATCCACTGGTGAAATCATTATGCATCAGGGAACTGTTAACAACTTATTCGTTTTACGTCAACTGGGTGGGGTGACATGAATGTGCCCACTGAACAGCTGGGAACAGGTCTAAATTAAAAAAAAAAAACCCTGACAAGAAACATTTATTGGTTGGCTCAAAAGCCAACACTGACATTTACAATACACCATTTGCAAGTAATATATCACACACTGAAGACCGTGTTTGACCATATTTCCAAACACTGGGAAGAGAGTTGAAAATATGATGCACTGCGGAGTATTTTTGACGAACTATGAGGTGTTTGGTAATGTGGTCAAATTCCATCTTGAGTGTTTGATATATCTTTTCAATCGAAACTAAAGCTTTGAAGAAAATGGAGAAATAAAATCGTAAACATTCATGCTAATTAAGATCAGATATCCAAACACCATCACTGTCATGATTTACTTTGTTAAAGTTGATTAATTATTAATGAGCTTAAGAAGATATTTTCAAAATATCTCCAGTAAAATTCTCATCAACGGAATTGTCCAGGTCCCCACTGTCAATCCCTCTTTCATATCTTTGTCTTATGTGTATTCACCACATTAAGTATAGCTTTTGACTTATCTGACCTAAAGTTTTGGTTTGTTCAGTTGATATTTAAACTTCCATTTGCTATTATTGTTATTATTATTGTTATTATTATTATTATTATTATTATTTTAGTCTTGTGAAGAATCCTTCAGAAAGAGCAGATCTGAAGTCATTAATGGTAAGTGCCAGTTGAAGCCTCCAATAAAGATCCGCTAAGCTTACCGCTACATCATTTCACAGAAGACTGTACACCACTTCCAGTGTTCTTAAATTCAAGCAAAAGTTTATAATAACAAATTTTGTTGGTGCCTGGTGTTACAGGAGTTTTCAATAGAGGCTGGACACTATACAAATATGTTACATCCTTGATCTCTCATTGACACTTTGCTGTCCTAAGAGGACACATTATCCAAACCCCCAAAGGTATCTGCACACCAATGTAGTGCAAGACAAATGGTTTGGATCTTCTCGGATACACCTCTTCATGCCCTATAGGTTATCTGAATATCTTTTTTTACAATAGGTGTCTAATTTCTTGCATGCTCATTGACTCATTTTTATCATCAATAAGAATACAGACAGATAAAATTTTAATTTATGCAAGCTTTCAAGTTCAACTTACAGCTGTCAAACTGTCAACTTTTTAACCAATGAGATTTTATGGACTTTTTAAAGTAGCGTAAGCCAATCAAAAAGCGAGAAAAGCTATTGACAATGTTTGTGTGATTTTGAATAAAATTCACTTAGTTTTGTTTACGGCAAGTTTACGGCGTCATTTAATTTATTCCTGGCATTTGACCATTTAGGGTCTTGTTATTGTAGAAAACAAATTGACGTCAGTTTTTTATGCGTCTGCCCTCTTATTGATGATAAATTTTGTTATAACGTTATGATGTAATTTATCATCAATAAGAGGACAGATGCCTAAAAAGCTAACGATAATGTGTTAAATTAACAGTGCCATCTTGTGTTTCTTATTTTTTCCAGAATCATCCATTCATCAAAAAATCTGAGATGATGCAAGTAGACTTTGCTGGTTGGGTGTGTCAAGTGGCTGGTCTCTAGCAAGCGACTGACTGGCGGATCAAAATAAACTGAATTGGAGTATTGCTATGGACAAGTTTATTACCCTTATTTAACTTGCAGCGTCAGAATGATGGAATTACAAGAAAAGGAAAATATATGCAATGGAATTTATATAAATGTGGTGTGTTTCGGATTTGGTGCAGCAAGAGACTGCAAAGCGTGGGAGGGAAATATGTTGCGGCATGTCTAGAGGATGCTAAACTTATCAGAACACTCCAGATTGATGGATTTGCGCTAGCATGGAACACAGTTGTTTACTAGGGAGCACTTGTGGAACTGTGATAAAGATATGGAATGGAAATAAGACTCAAGACAAAAATGGGGTGTTTTAGGGTGGGGTGGGGGGTGGGTTCAGTCTCATGTCCCCCCCTCCCACCCACCCATCTACCCTCTATATAAATTCCTTACATGTCTAGACTGGCTGTCAAGGTATAACATCAGTTGCACAGAACACAAGTCGATTTCTTTGTAATACTATTTGTTGCTTATGATTTAGCTTTTTTTCATGCATTCTTTCTGTAATCTCTGTTCAATGTCATTTTGGTCAAATGGATTGTTATATAATGACTGTAATCTGTAATGTACAGTAATATAGTTGTTATGACGAACTCGGAGACTAGTTTATCACATCACTGGTTTGTCATATCACTATAAGGGGATAGGTTGGTTATCTTTAACTGTAGATACAAGTAGCATGCTTTATATCAAATAAATATCTGGCCCTCGCAACAAAGAGGAAATCATTTTACAAGTGGTTTTTGAGATGCCATCATCAATACTTTTCATCTAAAAGGCCAAATGTCTTCACACTATTGGGTTGTGAAAGTTGTGGTAACCAAAGTTAGCATTTCTCTAAAGTTGTATAGTCGTTTGATTTAGCAGGAATCCAAGAAGCTCGGAAATAAGCCTAGATCGCTGGAAACTGAATTATATTGATTTCATATTGTGGGACACTTACAGAATTGGACAGAGGACAGGAACTCATTTGAAAGTAAGGGTAGGCTGTGAGCAGGGCGAGAGAGGGCAATAAGCCCCCCCCCCGTCCCCGCCACTCCTTCCAAGAGTTCCTGTGCGGGCGTTTTTCTTCTCGCACTGTTTTTCGCGCCACACTTGGCGGACTAAGAGAAAAAGATGCCTGTTTTTAGTCTAAGCGGGCATGACCAATGATGGTGTGGATCCAGAGCATGGATTTCAGCAGGAACAAACTACAAATCCTTTGAGAGTTTGCATTGTTTTTTTTTGTAAGGTGGAATCCCTTCAAGAAACTGCTCACTTACTCAAAGTTTCTTTTCTTGATTGTGTGAAGACGGCCTGTATTTATTACAGTTTGAAGCAGTTGCTTTAAGGTGATAGCATCCAAAACAAGGAGAAGCTGTAGTGTTACTCCTTTTCTCTGGGAATTGATGTGAGGGCTCACTGCATGGCCCAAAACAGGAAGAATGTTTACTGCAGGTGACAGCAAAATAGGCCCACTTACTTTCATTACTTGGCATCGGCAATCAATAGATGAAATAGTGGTAATCGGAAACGGTGGGCAGTTATTAGTTTTGCATGATGGAACACGTAAGACCTGATGGAAAGAAAAAATTCAGGAGCTCATTATAACATCTTAACATGTCGAGAAGAAGTTATCGGCCCTGGCCTTCGCTTGGGGCTAATGTAACGTGTTTGCGATGCGAGTCTCCATAAACGTCCTTTTATAGTTGTTGTCAGATCGTTTGTCAGTTGTTTTGGGAGAAATTGCTTAGGAGATGACCCCCTGATGCTTTGTGGTCTTTCACTCTCACAGTGCCTCTGGAGTGTTGGGTCGGGGGTGGGGGTGACCGGGGTAAGTAACTGTAAGGCGGGTATAGGAAAGTAACACACGATGGACTAGCTTTCCTTCCGGGAGGAGACCAGTTACTCTATGCAACAGACATTAATTTTTTAGACCACAGCACTTCTTACAATCCATGATATCACAAAACCTGTTCGGCTTGTTCATAAACTCGAGCTGTAAATGCGAGTTTCCTTTACGTAAAGACAACGGGGGTTGGGTTCTAAAAACGGCTAAATCTTATCTTGGCTTTACCAATACCCTGGCCCTGGCTATACCTTAAACCACGTGAATTATTACGTTGATATATGTTAGATATGGGTTATTGACCAAGCGTGTCCAGTCAAGATGGCTGGATATTGGCCTTGTTCTCTTCTCTTTTTTCGTGTTTGTATGGACCGAGACGGAGTAAACACGTCATAAACACGTCAAGTGGATGAGTCGATAAACTCGAACACGTCAGGTGGATGAATCGATATACTCATAAACACGTCACGTAGATAAGTCTGAACTAGAAGTGGACACCAAGGGAGTTCAGATGGCAGCATAATAGTGTAGACTGCGGACTTTATGCGCTTGTCTTTGCACTCAGCCTTCTCAATGGGATGAACCCGGAAGAGCAAACGTTTCGGTGGAAGAGCAAACGTATTCGGTTCCAAATCTACGCCCAAGTTTACTTCAAAGGTTTAAAGAATAGCTCGTGAAAGAGTTTTGCTGAGAGACCACACCAGAGTATCTGGGAGTCAGGTCTACCACCCTTACGCTGGCCCTATACTGTCACTATCACATGCCCCAGGGAACAACTGACACGAAACTGCCTGGAAGGGAATGGCTGAATGCGGGATCTGTTAGAAATGGTCCCATCAAAAATGTGCGTGGTTAGGCATATCAAACAACATTTTTAGAGATGATGCTTCCAGGACCAGTAAAGCATGTAGAAGCTGCCAAGTACCATAAGCCAGCGTCAAAAAATACCGTGTCTCAGTGGGGAAATAACCTTGATGAGTTGATGAGCGATGTATGACATTTGCAGACTGCAGACTACATTTGGGCCAGAATATTGTTCTGGTTAGCCTGAATATCACCCAGGTTAGCCTGAATAGCGCTCGGATTGGCCTGTTTACGGTTAGGTCTCGGTAAAGGCGGCGAAATACGAGATACAAAAACCCTCAACTTGTCGTGCAACATGAGCAAATTTGTTGGCAAATTGTGAGTTTGACAAGTTGTGAGTTTGGTGAAAAACGAGCAACAAAGCCAAAATTTGTTGCTTAAAGTAGACCCGCGCTCTACTTTTCGCAACAATTTTCTTTTACCCGCAGCAAATGTTTTTGTTTGTCTTCCCCGAAACCTGTCCACACTACGCAGGAGGAATTTGGAAACGGAGGTTTCACTCTGAAAACGCACTAAACGTTTTCCGTCCACGCTACGCCGGAGGAAGTTAAAAACGCAACGGTCAATCACTGGTCATTTTGGATTTGTGTTTGAAGAAAACTCGGTCATTGAAATCACATGATTATCGCGAGGTCATCGTTTTCAAAAAGCTCCGTTTTCAAAATGTTCTCTGTCCACACGAAATGGATTAGTGTGGACGGTAGGCGTAACCGTAGAAATAAAGCTGCGTTTTCAGATTCCTCAGGCGTAGTGTAGACGGGGCCAGATAAGACTTGCAGATAAAGAATAACAAAGAACTTTTATTAGGAAATGTTTTGCCAGATAGATCTAAAATATCAACACAGTATAACAGATTTTTTTTCTTTCTTAAAGGCACCTTATTGGGAGAACCATATTTGCATTCATACCGAAACGCCTAAAACAGCAACGGAAAGGTCATTCATCTGATTGATTGAAGGTTCAAAGTTTTGTCAGTGTTTGCTTTGGCTTCTAAATGACGTTCGTAAGGTAGTCCACTAACTGGAGAAATATTTGACAAAATAATTATTTAGGAGCAATCTCAAACTGAACTTGCTTCTCGTATTTTAGTGTGCCAATTTCCGTCCATAGAGCTTCCATTTCTATTTCAAACGGGTAGCACTGGGGACGAGAATGGACTGTGCCATGGTTACACAAGTATAATTGACATGTGACACTAGAGAGATTGATAAATCAGCCAATCAAGAGTGTCATATTCTGAGGTGCTGACGAACCGGTATTAAGCCACTGAATTATGTAGCAGGTAATAATAATAAGTTAGTACAGGGAAAGTTCATATCTCTAGTTAGCTACAAGACCACCAGTTGCATTGAGAAAAAGGAAAGCTGGTAAGATAATGTCAGCAGTGAATTACGTGAGGTCCCTAGAGTCTTTGCAACTTCCATGAAAGTTAACTTGCTCCGACGAGGTTTGTTTTGGCTTACTTCCGCCTCTTGTCTTGTGCAGAATTTTCGCTGCAGTTAAGTTTAAGTGCGAGTTTGTTTTCACTCTTTTGAAAGTTAACTATCTCTCCTATTGCATATAACTGTCGAAGAAAGTAATTTTTTCAGAAGGAAGGCCAGTTGGATTGCGTACCTTAACATTTAAAGAGAACAATGAGACCTAGCGATAAAGTATGAGCGTATTGCCGCGGCCAAACGTCAAACTGCTTACTATTGCAGTCAGTTCTGTGAGTAACAAGTCTTTCTGCATGCTTCCTGTGCTATTTGATTACTGTTTGCACTGTTTTTAACACTGTTTATGTCATAAATAGTCACACGCGCTTTTCAAATCGGTGGTGACCTTTGTTGAATCGTCTAAATAGCTGAAAACATAATCTGTTATGTAATAATGAAATTGTTGTGTTCCACATTGTCTCTGAGTTTCAAAGGAGAATGTGCATTTATTTTCTTAAAAAAGCGGTAGCCGTAGAAGTATTTGATCAGTGTGATATGAAATTTCTCTTAGTGTGAAAATCTTGGGTGTAAGTAGAGCCTGCATCTAGTAAATGTTGTGAAAATTTAAAGAGAACTCTTTGCCTCAGGGTATGAACATGTCTCTGAGTTTCAAAGGAGAATGTGCATTTATTTTCTCAAAAAAGCGGTAGCCGTAGAAGTATTTGATCAGTGTGATATGAAATCTCTCTTAGTGTGAAAATCTTGGGTGTAAGTAGAGCCTGCATCTAGTAAATGTTGTGAAAATTTAAAGAGAACTCTTTGCCTCAGGGTATGAACGTGAAAACTTAATGATATACAAACTGAGTCTAGTTTAATTTTCAGAGCTTTTATAGCTTGTTGTTTGGTTGTGGCTGCATTCAAAGATACGGCCAAACTGCGAAGAATTTTAACAAAATGTTCTCGATGATATGATGGGCTAGTTTCTATGAATTAAAATTCTGGCTTTGCGCCAATGTTGAGGGAAATAAAAACAAAAGAAAGTTCTTCTGTTTTATTTCCCCAAGTTAGAATATTAATATATCCGAAATTGGCCTATTAGTTCAGCCTTTTTTAAGGGAAAAAACCAAATAAAGTCAAGACAATAAAAATTACTAGACCAGGACGGAACTAAGGCCCGGTCCAAATGCCGCTCCCCTCATGTGCCGAACCAAACTTGGTTAAGTTCGACTTTAGAGCAACTTTGGAGCGACGGCTGGTTCAGACGACGTACTTGCGTCGAACTTAATTCGGGAAGCCGGTGGTAACAATTTTCGACGAGAAAATATGCGTTCTGAATTCAAGACCTCTGTCCAAAAAGAAAAGCTGTGACTAACATTTCGCTGTTACATGCTGTTATAGCAACACTTAGGGAAGCAAATTCAACCTCAAGGTTCAGTGTTTGTATTTAGACAGGTTTTCTCCCGCTTAAATCGACTTGTTAAAGGGAAATCTAATAAGCTGGGCTATTATCACGACGAAAACGCAAAAGATGAATTTGCGCCAAAGAAACTCGCTTACACAGTCCCGTTTTTCATAAATCAAAGGCATACTGGTATTTTGAGCTTCATGCATGACTGGTCACGCCACTCAATTTTGAGCCAATCACGAATCCCGTTATATGAAAAGAAATTACGGTAATTTATGCATTAGGTTCGACAAGTGAGGAGAACGCCGTATGAATCAGCTGCCGCTCCAACGTCGCATAGTGCGACAAACCATGGATAGTAGAAGACCCTGCCGAATTTAATGTTGTTTGCCGCGCCAAACTTAACCTGCCGAACCAAACTGATTCAAACGCCGCTCTTCTGCCGTGCTTAACTCATCAGGTTCGGCGCATGAATGGAGCGGCGTTTGGAACGGGCCGAACGATACACCAGCCATTGTTATGACTGAGGTTACCGAAGACTGAAATTAATTGAGGTGACTGCGAAAACGCATTCCAGCTCGGATGAAATTATCAGGAAAAGCTGAATTTATTCCTTGTAAACCATTTACATTTCCTGCGTTCGGAAACCAAGTAGTCAGTACCTTGTTAAAATTAGTGAAACGTTTTGATGCATAACTGATTTAATTATATAGTATTTTGTTACCTTCTATAGTGAAGAAAGACCTCACTGGTTGACGTAATGCATATGGATGAAAACGATAGTCAGCCTATTCCAATTCCTTCAGGACAAAGAAGTATTTTGAATGTATCATTTCTTCAATAGCATTTATCTGGTACATTCTTTTGAATAACTTCTTTGTTCAGTTTCTTCATAACTATTTCACTATGACAATATATGCAGGCTGGTTTTAGCATATATTATAATTTATATAATAACCCAAGTTATTCTCGCATTTTGATTGGTTCTCCCCAATGATCTATTAGAGGACAAACGCACGATTGACGTCATCGTTTCAAAGTTTTTCCCTCTGTGTTTTAAAATGGCAGAAAGTTTTGAGAATTTAGATAATATTTTACGTGACTGGGCAAAAGATAAGGTACAAAAATGTCTTGTCGAGGCATTGAACAGGTGCGAGAACCATAGTCTAACAGGAAGAGGAAAGATAAAGCCGTTTCTTTTTTAGAAAATGACTCAGAAAAAACACTCGAACAGTCTCAGTCGGCAGTCGATTGAGACTAAACCAAGCACAACATTGGTCTTGGTAAGCCGAGAACCATTGCTTTATCTCGAATTTAACAAACCCAATAAAACGTTTATGAGATTAATTTAGTTAAAAAATTCACCTTTTCTCAGTCTCAAAATAATTGTTCACACAGATTGATGTCAGGAATGACACATCAAAACATCACTTCTTAATATCAGTTAAAATAAAGACATAACCTTGCTCTCCGATGCGAATGTTCCAGTCCGTTTCAGGGCACAACAGCGAGCAAAGTATAGCTCACTACAGCCCACGGCCAACTGTATCACGGCCAACGGTATCGCGGCCAAAAGGTATCTCCGACACTATTTCAAACTGATTTGAGAATCATCAACCACAGAGGACACAAATTTCCACCGCCACTAATGCTCGGTTCATACGTCGCATTTCTGCCGTGTCGAATTCAATTAAACGAATTAAATTTGACAGAAATTCGACGTCTGAATCGACTGCCGCATTTCTGCCGCACGTTCGACTGGTCTTGCCGCATTATCCGACAGAAATGCAACATCGATTCATATGAAGCGTCATTAGGGTCAAAATTAGAATGCAAATTATGTTACGGTGTTTCGTATCTTATTCGGCCACACTGATTAATTATGTTCGAATGTTTGATCGAATTATGTTCCGCTCTTTTGAATTATGTTCGGAAGTTTGAATTTATTATAGAATACTATTAAACCGTTTGTAAATTATGTTCGGCTGTTAAGAGTTATGTTCGGAATGTTTAGCTTATAATTGCTTTGGTTGTTTTCTTGATTTATGGTTTGACTTATGGAATGCGGCTTCTTCGAATTATGTTCGGCAAGTGGATTGGAGCCTCGCGTCAGGAAGCTCACGAGCAGTCCTGAGACGAGTAAATTTT